ACCACGGATTTTTGTCATCCAAGTTGTGAAAAGAAGTTGTATAATAACCTTTAGTATAAAGTTTTTGTTTCACTATAACTTAAAAATAAATAATAAACAAACACACATAAATATGTATATACGTATATATATATTAGTAAATGTTATATTAATAGCAGATACATTAACTGCCAGAAATAAATAAGTGTCACTAATTATGAGAAGACACTGATTTCCGTAACACAGGTCTTTGAACCTAGCTCGGAAGCCAGGGCCTACAATGACATGTAACTTTTCTGTTTAAATAAAGAATTTATTATTATTATTTACTATAGTTTTAAACCTCGTGAAAGGCAAATGTTTGTGGCACTTGTGTTTACATATCGCATTACACTTCTTTCGCTTACATATCGTGCAGTGGTCATGGTGTCCAGTTGCCCGATTCAGAACTCTTCGATATTTTAACCGAGTCTTTCGATTGGATATCGTTGTCGAATCTAAGGGCGCTTTCCGCGCTATTCAGAACTTTCGAGTTCAACGTTCGATTTACATTCGGATACGATATTATTATCCAACAGCGTTTACGGAGTTAGTCGGTCAAATAGATTGTAAGAAAAATATAAAATCGTTTTATTTACTTTTTTAAGACCTTAAAGGTCTAACGTACCTAGTATAGGAATGCATTAGTCTTGCATTAAAATAACTTAATAAAATTTATTAAAATCGAGATTTTGTTTAAAATATTAAGAGTTTTCCATATTCCTATTCTTGCTTTGTAAACAATAGGACGTTCGGCGTAATCGTGCGCGTGTAGTCATTTCGGTTCGGTTTTGAATACGTCACTTTGGCGTTCTATTCGAGTGTTGTGAATAAAAATGAAAAGAAATCGTACGATAACAAATCTAATCAGTCGACAACTGAGCTATCGTAAGCTTCTGAATTGACCCCCTGGGCACATACTCGTATATTCGAATATTGTTTTTTTTTATAATATTGTCGCTTTGTGATGAATGATTTTCTCATTAATAATTATGAAGTATTGCAAGATAAGGAACAACCTGAATAACCTCAATGTAATATAAATCAAATTGCGAGCAATACAGCAGCCATACCCACAAAGAACGTTTTCGTTACCCTCGATAAAACCCAAACAACAACTATGTAATAATAACCTTACGTGTGATTTGAACAGCCTCCACAGTTCCCGAGGGTACTCCACGACTAATGGAAAAGGGAATAATACTCTAGCTGGCGTCAACATACCAGGTTCTGAAATTATTGATTACATTGAACCGCATTCGCACCAGTTTGGGACGATGATGTAACTATCTCGTGCATAAATAAGGTAATGCGGTTCGCTACAGCAAATCGTCGCACATCTCGTTAAGAAATGCCTCACCGGGCTCTTCACTGACCTAACGGATCTAGCCTGGTAGGGGCCTATACTCAATCCAGTTATCGAAGGGAAGACCAGCCCGATATATAACTAGACGTAACATAAAATAACTATTAACTTGACAAGGTTGTAGTGTAGTAATGTATAAGATTATTGAAAATCAATAGACACACATAGTGTTTCCCACAAAAACCTGCTTATTCAAATTTGTAATACCAAAATAATAACAAACAGATTCATGTCAAGCTTATCGTATACGTAATTGGATTACAAAGGTGAAATTAGTGTTCCTTCAGCTGATATTTAAGAAGTATATAATAATAATTCTGCGTTATAAATAGAAAAAGTAGTAGTATATAGTAGGTAGTAGCCACAACACAATTTTAAGCGCTTCTGCAGCGAATAACTTTTGTCCCAGCCCAGCAGCACCCCGCCGCATATTTCTCTCACGAGGCAGTCTTGAAATGCAAAATATCCTTTCTACAACTAATAGGTAGGTGTTAGCCAGATTAAGAAGTGACAAAAGTGTACGGTCTTCGGGTTACGTAGTGCACTCCAATAGAATAGAGAGAATCAAAAAAGATTCCTGCATTAACTATATCCTACGTCAACGACAAGTGCAAAACTTTGCAATCGTATGAAAGTGGACTGAGATTTTACGAAACTAGATCATTTATATTCGACGTAAGGCATCAGATATAATGTTTTTATTTAAACTGATTCATGGTGTTCTTGATTGCCCAGAAGTTTTGTCTTGCGTCAAATGGGAAGTCCCACATCCAGGTAGTCGATTGTCTAATCGAAAAACTTTCGATCTGCCGCTCTGTGGAACAAATGTCGGCCAGTGTTCTCCTATAAATGGATCCTTATATGGAGATTAAAATTTGTTACATTTTTGGGTTCTCTTGCCTCAGCAAGGAATAACGTGCACAAAGCACTTTATGATTTGCGAGTTTTCACTTTAAATTCTGCTTTTTTCTTTTGCGTAATTAAATGTATGTTTAGGAAATGAAACCATTTTTCCAGATTTAAATCGCGTACCTATATTTGTTTTTTTTTTGGGCCCGAAACGTCGGTTTGTTTGAAAAAACAAATATACGCGATTTAAATCCGGAAAAATAGTTTCATTTCCTATGTGTAACAATCGCGAAAACCTAAGAACTCGATAAATTTATGTTTTCTGTTCGCACGTTATTAGTGATGTATGTTGTGTCCACTAATATGAGGAACTGTACTGCGCACTGTACATACGAGCTTGTTGTGTCATAAACTGTGTATGTTTCAAGTTGTGAACCAAAGAAATTTAAAAAATTTAGTAAACATTAAAAACAATCTAAGTAATTAAATTGTGAACTTGTTGAGTGAAGTGCTGTTCGTCAGTGTGACTTGTGTCGGCAGCGATGATGTCACGCGTTGCCATGTAGCGCGGGAGCTACGTTGCCGCTCCGATGTTTGTGGCGTGCACGACAAGAAAAGTAGGTAATTCTAATTGTTTGGTCAAACTATAACTTTTTTTTAAAATATTTATTAATTATTTTTTCGTCAATGTTTCTGCCTTTTGCGTCTAATCATTTCGGTATTTCGTACGGACGTACTAGTTATAAATCCACTCAATGTGTACTACTTGAAGTTTAAGCAAATACATACACTCTGCCTATTTCGATGTCTGTTAATTATGTACTTAACTTTTACAAACACGAGAATTTAATGTTACATTTATTATTTACACTTTTACAATTTCAACGTGTGCTTACCTAAGTAAGTACAATCAACAACACATCAAGCTTTTGTTCGAATATCGCCTCCAGTGCAATGGAACAAAACCCGTCAATGTGTAGCTTGACATACGCACGCACAGATTATAAAATGCGATAAACGCAATGATTTGCAACTTGCAAATTGTTGTTTGACTCTGCATCAACACCGTTTGACGACGCAAACCTGTATTAGGTGTTAGCATCTAGGGTATGTAACTTGTATCTTAACCAACTGTCACTTATTTTCAAATAACCATAAGGTTCAACAAAAAATATTGAGCAGTAGATACCATGTATCGCATACACTTACTGTGATTCACCGTACAAACACGATATGTACATACCTACAGTAGTTGTATATGTGATACACTCTCCCACTAAAACACAACACATAAATGGCATTCGATTTCGCACTATATTCTGTAAAGTATTTGCAAAAGTAGCAAAATGAAGCTTTAGTATACATATACATACGTTATTATTCTAAGTATACATACTACTTATATCGAAATTGATCTAATTGTACCTAACTACTGTTCACAATTTATATGTAACACATTACTATCATTCTACACGTGGTCCATTTCCCCGTACAATCTTGTACAAAAAACGGCAAATTATGGATATTTCAATGCCATAAAACTATTCAAATTCAAACAAATGATATTTATTGTCATTACGACTGGCATATGGCACCAGCAATAGTGTGAACTCGGCTTTATGTATAGTATGACGGCTGGCGTTGGCGACAGTCTGTCTGGTGCGACCAGTGGGTTCTTGTGCGAGCGGGACGCAACGCGCCCGATGCCGCTTGCCAGAGCACGACACTAACGACGAACTACTATTTAATGTTAACTACCGTTGTCCCTCTTGCTCTTATAGTAAAATACATGTTTGAGAAAAGCAAGTAACACAGCATTCTGGGCTCTGGGGTATAAGTCAGCGCGCCTTTGAACAGGTTCCCAGTACTCATTCGACAATAGAAAATAAAATTTCTATTTGAATGGGCAAAAAAACTGTTAAAAACTGTTGTTAAGTACACCTGGTAATGTGATATTGCTAGAATGGAATGTCTATTTTATAGCCCTATCGAAAGCGTCGTGCTGCTAAAGATGATTGTATGATGTCAAGTGACGATGACGAGACGAACTAGTTGTTCGTCTGGTGGTAAGCGACACGCCTATCCATAACAGTCGCAGTGCCACTCAGAGTTCTAGATCGCAAAGATCTGACACTGCCATGCCACTGCGCCCGTTACCCTCCGACATAAGTCCACATCTCCCATTTGCCTGTTTCACTAGCACCTTTACCCTTCACAACCGAAATGCAAAAACGCTCATATCACTGCTTGCCGGTAGAAATAGGTACTTTAAGGTGGTACTTCCCTGGGCGAACTCTTTCACATGGAACTCTACTGCTATTAGAATCTAGCTCAATCAAATAACTTTTCCACAATATGTACCTACCCACTTTTATTTAAAAGTAAAACAAAAGAAAGAAGTACATAACAATAAATTTAATGATATTTCACATTTGTAGGTAATCTCGTCATCTATAGTTTCGTAAGTATTTGTTGGAATGTCGCCAAATAGGTGAATGTCTTTGAAAGCAAAGAATGAAAATGGAGATGTGTCCAGTCAAATTTTTATCGTGGAACATGACACGTGTAGATGGTTAATACAACTCAACACAACACGTAATCTGTCAATAATTCTTTTTAGCAAGTGTCGAAATCAAACAGACCGATTGGAATAATGAGCATGTAACAAACAAATAGGAGGCCCCGGCTCAACAGCTAATTATGCGATGCGACGCGAGTTGCCGCCTCGTCTCACCTACACCCCGCACCCCGCGTCCCGCTCCCCGCCCCGCGTCCCGCGCCCCGCGCCCCGCTGCGCCGTGATGTGCGTGGCGTGGCGCAAGCGAAGCGGCAACATCGCATCGCCTCGCACTCGCATCGCATCGCTCCATCGTCGCTCTCGCTCTCTTTCGCTCAGTATCGCTTCAACATCGTTTGAGAGCACTGTATTTTTTCGCGCGAACCTGTGCAGGTGCCCTTGGGAGGTCCTCTAAATCGCTTTGTTAATTCACTTCACAAACATGGTGTGCTATCGTTACCGCTCTTTGATGTAATTAGCGAGTGGAGGCCGAGCAGCGACGGCAGACGAACAATCAAGGTTACCATGAGACAATTATTATTTTGTTTTTACATTTAATTAATTTTAAAGTCTTGTCTTGTCTGATTTTCACATCCACTATGTAATTTGTTACTTGCTTAATAATTGTCACTCAATTTTAATTGCCTGCCCTCGCTCTTTTAAAATGAGTAGAGAGAGAGATATATACCTGCCCACGTAGGGCGACGTACAGTATAAAACAAACTGTTACCTACTTTAAAATGAAGAAGACTTCCACATTTGGTATTCCCACGAGCGCTGCGAGTTCTTAAAGCAGATGCCGTTTGTCGTTTATTCATCATCACTAACTTTAACCCCGAATGAGGTTAGTGAAGGAGCTTTATTTCTCAAAAATAATAGAATTTTCCCCAGAAGTGAGAATTCGACTGTGAACTGGCAACCGGTACTATCTCAATTTTGACAACTTTACATAATGAAGAAAAAACTTATTAGCGTCATTTATATAGCACCTGGTTTATTAAATAAAAATACGTAGTCTTTAAATTTTTATTATACTTGTTATTATAAACAATGGACTTTTTTGCAACGCTGCGGAGTATGAAATAGTATAAAATGATATTAAAAATCTTTAGAAAATTGAGAGGTTGCCAGTTCACAGTCGAAATACAAGACGACTGTACGCTGTACAGTCGCGTGCAATAAAATGTAAACGTTCACAAAATTTCAAATATATTATGTAAATATTACATATTTCAGAAACAAGAACTTTGTGTTGTGTTCAAAAATACGCGTAAAATCATGACGCCGCCCGTTTTAAAAAAAAGGTATACATTTATTTCAGAGAAAAGTAAAGAAACTACAATCAGTGGAAAGTGTCTTTTATGTACGTATCCATATAATTTTCGTAAATATTTATACAATGCATTTCCATTAAAATGTATACAATTAGGATTGTGATTTTGTCATAATTATGTAACCACTTTTAAAACTATGGAATGTTATATTCTAGACATATAATTGTAATTTAAAGTAAATATGTTAGCGCCAGTTGTTAACTTTTGTGTGTACTTTGCAAGCTCGGGCGGCAACAACGTCAGTTTCATTGGGTTAAACTAATCTTCAATTTTTTTGGTGATAATCACAGTGATCGAAAAAATCACAGCGTAAATGAGATGAATTTTACAGTGTTATCGTGTTAAATTGTGTAACTGCGGACACAATTTATTTTCTAAATATAAGGTTTTGAAAATTTGCTAACAAAACTCGATTATAAATTTTTATTGAATTGTTCATTGACCTAAATTGGTATTCAATTATTTTTTTAGAACAAAGATCCTTGGATTCGACTCGATTATTCGATTACTTGGTATCGATAATATAATAGATTATGTAAAAACAAAACTTTTGAAAATGTCTATTGCCAATAAGCTATTCTGTTAGGAATAAAAGAATAAGATCTTTCTTTTTCTTGTATTTTTAACAGGATAGAACGTTTCTGAAATAGTACTAATTTATATGCAATATAAATGAGTGCCACCTTAAAGTATTACCTTAAGACCTAATTTGAGTTCATAAAAAAGTTTTGAATGTTATAATAGAAATACAGAGTGATTAAATTCTAAATTAGAGCGTTCGTATAATGCACACATGACTTGATATTTAAAAAAAATACTTTCTTGGTAATAAAAGTTATTGTCGAAAAAGTAGTTTATATTTTACATTATGAAAATTGAAAATTTGCAAACAAAATTATACATTACAATTTTGTTTGCAAATTTTCAATAACCTGCTATTTGTAAAATAAATTGTGTCCGCAGTTATAATAATTTATCATACACTAAACATTTATGCTGCATCTCACTTGTGCTGAATCACAAAGACAATTAATTGGACATGGGGTCCCTACTTGAGCACACCCCGGACACTCCATACGACAGTCGAAAATTACCTACTACTACTAAGCAAGGCGCTATCTGCACACGCGCAAATGTGTGCGTGAAGTGGCAGGGTTACCCATTACTTTCTCGTACTATTACGTTACGTGGTCAGAGCGGCAACATCGCGAAAATTCTAAGGTCTGTTCTAATCTGTTATCTATAATTCTATTATGGAATCCTAATAATTACACATGTTCATTGCGTAGGTTAAATACCTACGATATCGATATAATATTATATTTATCGTTAATTCACCAACTAAAATAATATTGAAGATTTATTTAAAAAATATATTAAAAGCACTTAAAATGTTATATTTTGGACAGGTACCTTTAAATAAAATAACCAAAGTATTTGGAATTGCGTGTCCAAGTTTATCATTATCTACTTAATAATTACGTAGGTATATTCACTACGTACAATTTATCGGCAATACAAATTTAAAATTCAAGAACCCTTGTCTAGCTCACGAAGTTATGGTATCTTATTATATTGATATAATAAATCTGTATTATAATACAGATATAATATATATATTACTCTGCACTAAAGAAAACAATAATTGAATGAGTCTCTGACATACGTTTTCTACTTACTTCGTTTCATCTTTCAAAAAACGAAAGAAACTCCTCCCTTTATTCCGTTTAGATGATTATAAACAACTGTACACAGCACAATTCACTAACACTATAAATAGTAACGTTATATATAATGTCGTAATGAATAAATTAAAACTATATTCAAATATCAAAGCCGTCTGAGTGCGAAAACGGCTCGCCGACAGCCTTGTTCTCGTTCGGTCAATGTGACCGTCAATGTGCGGGGCGTGGTGCGCTATCTAAAGCTAGGGAGGGGCGGAGAGTGTCCGTTCTCGTTACTTCTTTGTTCTCTGACTTGAGACTGAATGCCGTTTGTTCAAACATTAATTGTCCGAAAACCTTTACTGGATTGTCCATTCCACTATCAATATCAATAATATCGACTTTAATTTGTTTTTATTGTATTTGTTCTTTTATTGACATTGTTTTGTTGCACTGTTTTTCCAATATTTGTGTGTAGTTTTGTTTTTCAAATGTGGTTCCGTCGTTAGATTACCAGAAAAATAGCATTGTTTGTAAACAAATTTTTTTTAAATTTTTTTTATTTTTTTATTTATTTCATTAAATTGTGCTATTACATGCTCTTAATTTTATGTGCCTTTGTGTGTTTTGTCTATTTGTGCTAGTCTGGTTTTTCTTTATGTACATATTCCTGTTTTTGTCATTGTTCATATAGCATATAGCATGTTTGTTTGCTGCAGCAACAGTGTTTCATTCTGAAGGGACTCGAGGCGCGTGGCGGCGAAGTTAAAGGCAACACACATTACTCTACTACAGCAATACGTACACAATATTATTAATATGTTAATTACTCAATCTTGTACAATTTTTATTAACAACAATTTATTTTTTTCTTTGTATTCTAATTTTCATAATATTTACAATTTACTCTCATCGCGGTTTTTCTCACTCACAATATACATATGTACTCTTGATAATGTTAATGATATTGATAATTAATAATATTACTTGCCGTAATGTATTATCCACGCACAGTTTCTGCAATTGTCGTCCTGTGCTGCTCCACGTGTGGCTCAGTGTAAACGTATCTATTTACATTTTTTTTTTGACATGACCTCCAAGACCAAATTTGTAAGGTTAGGTCTATTCAATGCTGGATCTTTAAACACAGGTCACGACGATTTTCTCGTAGCTATGAGCCGTTTTGATCCCGATTTTGTAGCAATTAACGAATCTTGGTTGCCATTGGGACAAGAAGCACGTGCGCCGTCTATGCCTGGTTATAAGCTTAAAAGTATTCCGCGGCCGTTGCACATGCGCCATGGGAGGGGGGGCGGTATTGCCTTCTATGTTAAGCGGGACGTTCCCGTACGTTACGTAAAACACCCTAAGGCTAATATTGAGCAAATGTGGCTTACTACAAAAGCAAATGGTCAAAGCCTCCTTATTAGGACAGGGTATAGACCAAATTGGGTTAATGTCGATACTTTTACTGATGCTTTAACGGATACGCTACTTTATTTTTCAAAATATGATAATGTCATTTTATTGGGAGATTTTAATATAAATATGCTTCATCAGTCACATGATAATACAATTAAATTAAATTAATTTTTAAATTACATTGATCTTCTGCAAGCAGTAAATAGTCCTACACATTTTTCAACTGGAACTGAAACTCTTATAGACCTGGTATGTACTAATGTGCGACTTCGGGATGTAAAGGTTTCCAATATTACAAGGTCATTGGGTCATACAATGATCATCGTCACACTTTTACTTAAAAAAAAATTGCCGCCGAAGTCCGTTACTTATAGACCCATTTCAGGTATAAATCTTGATAATTTTAACTGTGATTTGGACTCGATCGACTGGGAATCTATCACCACAACGCCTACCGTGGATGCCACGGTGGACAGACTTAATCATTACATCCTTTCTCTTTTTGACTTATATGCCCCGTTCAAGAATATCAACATTAAACGTCATCATTCATTACCTTGGATTACTGACACAATCAAAATGATGAATCTACGTAATGATGCTCTTGACAACTATCGCCGCACTAAGTCAGATGCTCATAAGAGATATTACAAGGATCTTAAAAGTTTTGTAGTTAGTATCTCCAATGAGAAGTCTGCTTACTTTCATCACCTGGTGAACTCACAGGACTGCGGCAGTAAAAAGTCCTGGAAGAATTTAAGGGAAAACATTCTAGTGGATCCTGGTAGGACTGACCACTTTCCAGACCATTTCAGTGATCCTAACGTCATCAATGCTTACTTTCTGGATCTGCTCGGTTCCGGCAAGTTTCCTATCTCGGAGTTGGAATCGTTTAGGAATGATAGATTGAATGATGCGTCGGTTCAATTTTGTCCAGTTTCGAAGGCTACCGTGACTTCATTCATCATGTCAGTAAAATCTAAGCTATTGGATGTGATGGTTTCAGTAGGGAAATGATCTTACTTTCTCTTCCACGTTCTTTAAATGTCATTACAAGTATTATAAATAGGTCAATCACAACAGGTACCGTCCCAAGTCAGTGGAAGCAAGCGCTGGTCACGCCTCTCCCAAAAGTCACTGATCCCACTGAGCTCAAAGACCTACCTATAAGCATCTTGCCCTTCTTATCTAAAATTCTTGAAAAGACAATTCTCTCTCAATTTGTCAAGAACATTGAAGCTTCCTTCCTTCCTTCCTTCCTGCTCTTCAGTCGGGATTTCGTAAGGGTAGAGGCACAATTACAGCCCTACTAGATGTGTCGGACAACATACTTGCCGAACAGGAATCTGGTCGAGGTACGATCCTGACGCTGTTGGAATTTTCACGTGCGTTAGATAGTATTAATGTTGCTCTTCTCATCGCAAAGCTGTCATATTATGGCATGAATGATTCTGCGGTACAGTGGTTTGAGAGTTACGTTGGAGTACGCTCGCAGGCGATCAGGTTGTCCAGGCCGGACGGAGCCCGTGTTGTTTCAGACTTTCTTGCGGTTAATCGGGGGGTATCGCAAGGATCTTTATTGGGACCAATACTGTTCATCATTTACAATGCTGATTTACCTAGGGTGATTAAACATTGTAGGTACCATTGTTACGCGGATGACGTTCAGCTATACATACCAGTATACTCACATAACCTACATGAAGCGCAATCACGCTTGAATGATGACTTGAGAGCAATTGCTGTTTGGTCTATCCCAGCAGATCCGTACGGTCTCTGTTGGCGGGTTAAATTCATCGTGCTGTGGCTTTTACGGGAAGCTTTCGCTATCAGGCCACAAGGTGTGGAAATAATATCCCACCTCCACTTACGCTTCTCAAATTTTTTTTTTTTTTTTTTTTTTTTATTGCGACTCGACAAAATGGCTGCACCGCGCCTGATGGAAAGTGCGAATACAGTCCAGAGATGAGAGTAACGGATGGAAAACACAAATATCTTCACTCCGTCACTATCATTTTGCCGGTCTGGCCAAATGCACTGGATGTACACCAACTGATCCCTGAACGCGATTCGCAAAAGCGTTTCACTGTGGAGGGTTTTCCGCCGTGTGTACTGTGGTCGCTATCCAGTCGCCACAGAGCCTACCACAATGCTAAGCAGATGGACACTTGTGACGCCCTCGGTCGCCTCTTACGACCCCCACGGGCATGTATGGGGAGGCGACAATGTATTCTTAAGCCGTCGCCCCACGGCACAAATCTAAGTCCACCTTCAAAAAGCATTTGAGGGAACGTATTTTTGAGAGGCAAAAGCTGGATAATTTGCAGCGCTTTGTATAGCGAGGGCTTCTGAAACACCAATTTGTAATATTTATAATAATTAATTTTTTGTCCTATTTCTTTGTTATATCTTTTTTTTGTTTTTTGTCCTATTTCTTTGTTGTATCTATTCTTCATTTTTGTAGTTGGTTTTTTAAATTTCATGCTTGCCACACCCGTACGCTCCCTTAGACGCTCCCACCGAAGCTCCCACCGACGCTCTCACCGACGCTCCCACCGACGCTCTCACCGACGCTCCCACCAACGCTCCCACCGACGCTCCCATCGACACGTTAACACTGACACACAACTACACTAAAACTCACTGCACGACTTACACATTACTTACACATTGCTTTTTGCTGTTGATGCACCATGTCGCGTTACCCTCTAGGCGATAGCTGAAAATCAGTGCGTTCTTTTTGGGCAACACCTGCACTGAGCTATGGCCTGTTTGGCTTGCTGCAGCAATAACTTGCTTTTTAATTAATTTGTATTTAAGTGGAAGACTGTTGTCTCTGCCTACCCCGATGGGAAAAGGCGTGAAGTACATGTATGTATGTAGATATATGTTGTTTATTGTGTATATTTATTTGATTTCTTGCCTTTTTGTTATTTTGTACGTTTTGTTTTGCGTTTTTTTTTTGTCTTCTTTTTTTCGTTATTTGTTGTTTCGTATCATTGTGTGTGCTTGTGGAAAGGCAATAAACGTATTCTAACTATCTATCTACCTCTATCAATTAAAAAATGGCTTCATTTAAATAAAACTCTCCTCGATGAAAAAGTGGGGCTATTAAACATTATTATTCGATACTTACCCTTTTATTACCTGACTATTTTATTAGTCATATAAGTATAGAAACTGAAAAGGAAGGTTATGATTTGACGGAGCTTGTAAATATGTCTGTTTAAGTACCACATGTGTGTTCTCACAGAACCTAAACTACTTAACCCATATCAACGTATTGCTCATGATTTTCCACATGTCACAGGTTAGACATTCTTCCATCCGATGCAATCCCATTTCTGCTGCTTTTAAAAATATCATTTTCTTTCTTAGACTGCGGAGACGGTAGGCCGCAGAGAATGTAGACGGGTAGAAATCGGGAGACACGACTCCAATACCATACTTTGGGGTAGGTACGTAGCAAAGTTTAAAACAAAACAAAGCAATCACCAGCGAGACGAGAAAAAGTCTTAGAGGCGGAGGTCTATTTATAGGCGGACCCCTTTCGTGGAAATTGCTTCTTCGACGTACATCGCCAATATGGTCATGTGCAAGAGAAATTCGACCTTTAGAAGATCAATCCTCAACCACAGATAAGTCTGTCGACATGATAAAACCAGTAACAAAAATGGTCAATAACTGACAAATCCATTCCGAAACAAATTATTATCCTATAGAAAAGTTCCGGGAACCGCCCTGTATATTTATAGTAAATACGGAAATTATTAATAATTTGATGCAAATGAACAGGCAAAATTTAATGAATAATGAGCACAGAGTCGAATAGGAACTTACCCACATTAAAATGATCAAAATGTTACTCATAGTGAGGTTATTTATTTGTTTTGATTCTGTCAAACCCTACAAAACATAGTGCAAGTCTAGTTTTAATAATAATAATAATAATTAATTTATTTTCTTAAAACATGGTATAACAGAAGATATTACAAGAGGCAGTGCCAGTACAAACATGTTTCGCATATATTAAATAGCATGCAAATGTCTAGTTATACATATAATGTCAATCAGACTACCACAACACAATAATACAAAAATGTCACAAACAATCTTCAAGACAAAATCTTACATCTCATTTCCTGTCAATTTTATTTTATTTAACCACTTGTACAGCTTTGTTTTAAAGAAAGTTAAGTGTAGGTAATAGTTTAATCTCAAGTGGTATTTTATTATATATGTCAACACACATTTTTAAACAACTTTTACTGTACTGTTTTACTGTATTTAGCAGTCATAGGAATAGTGTCAAGTACAAGTCTATTCGTGTTTCTGCTGACTCTAGTATTCACATCACAGGCTTTCTGAGACAAATGTGTGTGTTTTCGTACAAAGATACAAATTTCGTATATACATATATAATGATGGTAGTGGCACCAGACCAAGGCTCTGAAACAAGGGTCTCCATGTTTCATCCAGCGGAATTCCACAAATTGCTCTAATGCATTTCTTTTGTGCTACAAAAGCTGTTTCGATCTGTATATTACCCTATACTATAAGACCGTAACGTAATATGGATTCTACATAGGTACGCCCTACATGTGGTTATGACAGCTTTCTTTTTTTTTTAATTTTTCTTCTTTCTTATTGTTTATATTTTTCAGCTATTTTAAGGCACGTACAAACTTATTGATTCTCGAACATACATTCACGACGTGAGTTTTCCAGTTCAGTTCTTGATCTGTGGTTACTCCAAGAAATTTTGTGTGGGATACTTCCTCAATTGCATCGATATTAAAATTGAAATTAAATTTAGTATGTCTCGATTTATTAAATTGTTATAATTGATTTATTTAAGTTAATATTCAGATTATTTGAATGTAGCCAATTGATTATTTCAACACGCCGTGTGTAACCGCTCTTTAGGGTCATTTTTGCGTACAGGCAATGGCGGCTGCGGTCAGTAGCAGCCACTTGCAGCTCGGCTTTTCTTATCAACCAATGAACTTAAAGGCCCACTTCATATTTTCATTACACACAAAAGGTTTTTCCAAATAAAAGTTGATAAAACCATTCCTACTTTAAACTCGGTTTGCAAACGAAACGGCTTAGGACGTCTTTAACTTTGCTGATGGTACGGGGAATCAGCAATATACATAGGACATTTGGCTGGTTCAATATACGACAAAATTTTATTTGATATGAAAAACGAAATATTATATTTTACGGTAGCACTTATTTACGAAATAGTCGGGGTTTTCGAATTTCGTCGCTTTGTTATCGAGGGTGCGACATGTCCAGAACTAGCTCCTGAAATGTAATTGCATCATACTTTTGTAACAATAGATTTGTGGGTACCTCGTTGGAAAGAGGCACGGGCGCGGCGTCGGCGACTTCATTGGAGGTGGCGTGATGACATCGTCGGCAACTCGTGAGTACCGCGAGCGACTCATAGACGAAGTGAAGAAGTTTCCCGTGCTGTACGACACGCAGCACGAAGCACACCGCGACATCGACGCGCGCGACCGCTGCTGGGCCGACATCGCGCGCCGCCTTGGTGCCAATAGTGAGTGAAACAACCCGTCACCTTACTAACGAACCTTGGCCCGCCTGTGATCACGAACTCAACTAATTTTATACACGTGCGTCGGCTTTCAGGTGAGCTGCTGAAGCGCGAGTGGAAGATCCTGCGCGACTCGCTGCGACAGTCGATGAAAAAATGTCGCAAAGGAGCCACCACGAAGGCCGGCGCACCCTGTCGCAAATGGCGATTCCACGCGCGCATGGCATTCGTGTTGCCGTATATGACCAGGCGGTGCGAATCTACTTATTTACTGCATTTTCACCATTTCCCCCGAATAACCCACATACGTCTCGCAGTTAGATATGGGTCTACCACATCGTCGTTGCTTACCCAACGAGCTAAGTATATTATGACGATTATGGCCTTGGTTCTCTGTCGGAAAACGTCATTTAACCTATTGTGCCGTGTCCCTGCCAAAATCCGACCTGCTCCGTTTGGCAAAACCTCATCAAGTCGTTTGGTGAGACAATTCGTAATGACTCGAGAAAACAGCTTGTAGATGTTCCTCAAGAGTGAACTTTTGTTGCTCTTTGTCGCACTAATCGCTTAGTGAGAGTTCTCCGGCCCCCGTAGTATGCCGCGTCGATAAAGCTATTATACCCACATTTAATTCTCAAATTCAAGTATATATACATTTTTAAAATTTTATCACAATAGCTAACATGGCGAGCCCGTGACATCACGTTTTTATATCATCGCGAGGGCCGCGACCAATGACTGGAAAAGATTAGCAGTGCCAGACATGGTAGCACAGTGCCAGACATGGTAGCACAGTGCCAGACATGGCTGCAAGGTCACAGCTGATTTTAAAACATTTTAACAGTAATTTGATCGCCGTAAAAACTGATCGCGACAAACGAGATGAAAAGAAATGATAAAAACAAATAAATTGATATAGAGAATGAATTATTGGAAAAACTTGAGGAGAACATTTTTACTACAGTTCAATGAATACATGAGAGTAATTAGAAATACGTAAATAATAAATAACGTAATGTAAAATATACACACACAGATATACACAAACAGAAAATACAAAAACCCGACATTTTTGTTTCATAGTTTTCGCGGCGATGATTAAACGACAAAGACTATTCTACGTAATTTCATATCATTGTCCTTATTCTTCAAAATGTATGACAATAGTTCATTACCAAATAAGCAAACTTAGATTTATCAACTGAATTAAATATTGTCAAGGGGAGGTTTATCACACATATACTGCCATTCTTCTGATTTTTAAGGTACACCTATAGTTGCAGCAAGTAGTTGAATTCAAAAGAACAATAGACGTTTGCCAGGTTTTTTGAAATTTTAATTGTAACATTTAGTTTTAAAAAGTGACCTTGAATTGATTACATCAATATCTAGAGTTCACACGGACGAAATCGCAGGTACCTACAGCTAGTTTTCCTATACTATTGCTCTAAAAGTGATATTTTCTATAGCATTAAACCATACGGAAGGACATTATTCTACCAGCCGAATTAAACATATTAGCCAGATGTTTTTTTATGTTCAGAACAAATTATTAAAAAGAAAAATAAATAAAATATTTATGAGTTTGCTAAATTCATGAATATGCGTAATGCGTACTTAGCTAAAGTAATTATAAATAATAATAATGAAAAGAAACTAGGCAAAAGAAATACTAAAAAATTCAGTCAAAATAATAAACTATTATGAAAAACTATTGAAAATATTACGTATACTAGTAACAATAACTCCACCAACACAGAACTGACAAATTTGAAATTGACTCCCTTTGCCTCTGCGGATTATGTAAATAAGTTTTTTTGTTAACATTGGCAAGCAGCACTCAGCAAATACAAACGCCGAATGATGAACTGAAAACTTATCTCAAAAACTTACCAACCCAAATCAACTCCTTTGTTCTCTTGCATACTGACGAAGATGAAGTAAACTGTATAATTAGGGCTCTAAAGTCGAGTAGTACACTTGGTTGGGACAATATCCCTAGTGCATTTTTAAAATCTCCAAATTCCGTAGTTGTTCTCATTATTACCTAAGCTGCCAACCTCTGTTTTGACAAAGGAATTTTACCGGCATTTCTTAAATTGTCAACTATAACTTCTGTGTATAAGGGTGGAAACAGCGACGATGTCAACAATTAAAGGTCTATATCTGTATTATTAGTGATGTCCGAAATACTGGAAAAATTACTCAATTAAAGATTACTAGACTATTAAAATAAAAACAATATATTGTTTGGAAACCAATTTGGTTTTCAGCGTGAAAGATCTGTGGAGGATGCAGTAGGTAATCTCCTTGAGTTCTCTGGTTACAGAACAACTTAACAAACGAAAGAAATGTTTGTTAGTATTTTTAAATTAAAAAAAAACGTTGGACACCGTCTCTCTCCCCATACTGGTACACAAATTAGAAAAGATTGGTATATTTTATTTTTATTATATGGTACAACAACAGATAACAGACTACAAATAATACTAGAACTATTACATATATATAACATTATAAATCTGATATCCAATTATAATTGTACACAACAGTTGATAACTGCCTCCGTGGCCGAACGATTACCATGCCGGTTTGCCACGCAGAGGTCCCAGGTTCGATTCCCGGGCCGGGAGAAATAGATGTATGGCCTACAATTATTTCTCTCGTGAGATTGGGTGTAATTTGTGGTTGTCTATGTGTGTGTCCATGGCACCCGCGGCACGGTTTCCCTAGTGCGGGGCTATGTTGAGTGTGTGCGTTATTTATAGTTATGGAAGAGGAGTGCCCCTGACACAAGCTTGATAACCTTAAAAGAAGGTACCATCCACTGTTAATGTAAAGTTAACTGTATTACTGAAAGAAACATTGTATTATTATTATTGTATTTATTTTAAACTCTCGCCTCTCCCAAGGCCTAAAAGATTAATTTTGAATTTGGAAATGGGAGAGGCGGTATTTCCCGGCAATGGCACAGTCGGCCGAGGTCAGGGACTCAGGTCCAGGAATGGGCGAACAATACGTGCCGTATCGAGCAGGACCGCCTCCTGCATTTGTGCTGGAAGCGACAGGCCACAGAAATCCAACCGCCTCAAGCTGTTAGAAATGCTGACTGGAATTATCCCACTTGCGGACAAAACAATTGGGATTATTTCAGTGGAGGCCACATCCCAAATTATCTCGTGCGCCAGGTCGAGATACTTCCGGCGTTTCTCGGTGTCAGCTTTCACGAGACCCTCGTCATGCGGGATGGTGACGTCCACAAGAAATACCCTCGACTGCGATCAATCCCATATCACAATATCAGGCTTATTCGCAAGAATAGTCCTGTCCGTGATAATATATCGATCCCAATAGATTTTGGTGCGGTCATCTTCGAGTATTGGCTCCGGTGAATACTTGTAATATGGCAACCTCTGTTGCACTAGTCCGTACTTGAGAGCGAGCTCTTGGTGTAATATTTATTTGGCTGCCTGGTTGTGTCTGTGCAAGTACTCAATGTTAGCAAGAGCGGAACAACCAGAAACAATATGCCTAAGTGACTCTCCGGGACGGCCACATGCCCGATAAATGTCTATTGTGCGGTCCTTTAGGATATATTTCCGATAGTTCCGCGTCTTGATAACCTGATCCTGTATTGCACGGACAAAACCTTCGGTTTCCCCAAAGAGGTCCCCGAAACGCAGCCAATGTAGGGAGGCTTTACGATCCATAAAAGGATCGTGGAGTACCTTAAAGAACCTCCCATGGAGCTCCTTCTCTTTCCATTCCTCTTTGAAGACGCGCTATAAGGTGTTTGTCAATAAGTGCAAACACTACAGAATGTCTATAAATTAAATATATCTAAAATAAACTTAAGAACACTAGTTTTTAGAGTATTAATAGACTTTACTGGATGTGTATAGAACAATTTTACTAAAAATAATCAGTTGTTCTACAGATAAACTTAAAATAAAGACTATAAGAGTAAATCTAAAGAGAGATTACACTTAATTAAGTTGTTTGGTATTAAGAAGGTGTTAAAATTTTGACTTGAGTGAAATAAGTCTTTAAGAACAATTTCTTTTTTCTAAAACCATTTATAGAGAACTATTATCTAACTCAATATCATATTAAGACTGTTTATAGATATAACAGTTTTAAGGCGTATAAAGTGTGCTCCTTAGGAGGTGTCAAGTAACGCCTCACCATGGAAAGAATGCTAAGCTTCATGGCTGCATTTTTGCCATAGACTGTAAGGAACTGCCGAAGTTCAAATCGGACGACAGGTCTATTCCGAGTAGCTGAAGATAGTCGACTATCGGTATGGATATATCACGAAATGTCGGAGTCAGGTCAAAGTGACTCTGTTTTATGGAGAATAAACGCGCCTGCATTTTGGTAGCGTTAAATTTGACAAGATTGGCATGGATCCAATCGGACACTGCCTAAAGTGTCAAATTCAAACTATTAACCATGGGCTCTCGACAAGACTGGATTTCTTCTTCACGGACCCTTGCATTGGTCAAGTACATATCTACAACTGTGCTGTCATCATCATACCCGAAGCTACCTGGATTTACCATATCGTTGATGTGCAGCAGATAGAGAGTTGCGTACAGTAAAGGAACCCTGAGGGACTCTGGCATCTATCGCCGGATATTTTGTAGGGTAGACTCCTAAGACCACTTGAATCGAACGCTCCCTCAAGAAATCCGAGATCTAATTGCAAAGGTCAGAGGAAAGCTCTTAAGAGGGAAGCTTGTTTAAAAAATTAGCGTGCCAGACCCTGTCAAAGGCTTTAGAAATTTTCAGACACTGCAAGTGCTTCGCAAGAAGCATACACAAGAAGATCTCCTCGTCTTACTGGCGATCACTGAGGAGGTCGTTGTCTTCAAGTTACGGCAGGAGACGGTTGTTAAGTAGATATACGCTCCATAGTTTTGCAGATTATGATAGTGACTGGGATAGGTCTATAGTATCGAGATATAAGACAAACTACTTAGATTACAAATTTGTAATCTGAGACAAACTAACTCAATTATTTGGAGTATTCGGTGACTGAGACATGAAAAGAAAGCATATGTCAAAAATGTGCTTCAGTTATTAATACAATAATTACATATTATTTGCGTTGTTTATAGTGTTGAAGATGTGAAAAGAATGATAAATATGAAAAAGACGCCACTAGAATAAAGTTACAAATTTATGAACTAACAAATGAATTTGACTTATTTGTTTTAGCCGGTAGACGTATAAATTTAAATGAATGATGTTGGATTTTGTCTTATGTTATGTTGGTCTTCTTTTAAGATAAATAAATATTACAAAGTTCTACAACGATCATTTCAACGTCAGGAACAGCACTGACCATTTTTTTGTTAGGATGTTCAGTCATGGGTGGCCAATGACCAGAGACTCGCCAACGCTTGGAATGATTCACAGGAGCGAGCGGCCAGTGCTCAGAGACGGCGTCAAGCTCGACGCCGAACCCGAGCCGGCCACGCCCGAGCACGAGCCCGAGGGGGGGCCCGACGAGGCGCGGCCGCGGGGCGCGGGGGGCGCGGGGGGCGCGGAGGGCGCGGCGCCGGGCTCGCTCGAGCTGTTCTTCGCCAGCGTGTGCCAGAGCGCGCGCCGGCTGCCTGCGCACGCTCAGGCCAACCTCAAGCGCCAGGTCCAGATTGCAGCCTACTCAAAAAAGAGTCATCAAAATCGGTTCACAATTTATTACGGAGTTATCGCGTAACATACATAAAAAACGTACAGTCGAACTGAGAACCTCCTCCTTTTTTGAAGTCGGTTAAAAATAATTGATATTAGTATGTAAAGTAGAGAGAAATAAAAGAATAACTTTGTGTTTTTTGTCTATAGTGAATTTCTTTAGGAATCGTGTTTTCACACCGTATAGTAAACAGTGTATTATATCCTCAATTTTACTACACATTTTGTCCAAAGTGATCGATTCAACACTTTCACTGTTATGCGGAATTAACCAAAGCCATTTGAGGTGGGATAGACTCTTGATAAATACGAGATGATCTTCTGAGAGTTCTACCCACATCTAGCGGGTTTGTTATTTGTGCAATTTGGCAAGTATGATATAATAGTATTATTTTTCCGAAGTAAGTACAAACTTTGCTTCTGGGCGAGTTTCACAAAGGTTGGCAATTGCATTGTTAACTTATTTCATCATAATGGATTATTTGACAGTGCAATTTGGTCACTATTTGAACTTAACGATAATATTTACTAATAGGTAGTTACGCTGTGTTCATTATATGTTTGAATTTTCTTGTAAACATATTATAGGTATTCACCATTTAAAGTAATTACTTCCAAACACTAATGAAAAGATTATATATATACTTAGAATAATAATGCATAGAACATTGGCATAGAATGACAGTTTCATATCAAACGAACCGTCACAAGTGAAGCAAAAACCAAATTCATGTAGGCGTAAGCAACTTGTATCTATGCTCGTCGGCACGCACACAAATATACAAATAATGATGCCATGGAATAACATTTCCCTCAAAAGTGGGGAAATTGTATCTTGCTTAACTCATCATTAAGTTAAAGGTGCCTACAGATTTGCCCGACATTGTCGATCAGGTGCCTACAGATTGGCTCGATTTTGTCGATCAGGTGCCTACAGATATGCTCGGTTTTGTCGATCGTTACTGTCGATCGACAATGTCAAGTGACAAGAATTTTCAAAAATTTATTTTTGGTAATCCTTATGGAAATGGCATTTATATCTGAATACACGATGACGGACACGACTTTTCAAATAAATGCAATATGGGAATCGTTTTCGAGGTATTCGATGTGCTCATTACGAATATAGCATTTATTTCTAAATCCAAGATGGCGGACACGAGTTTTCAAATAAATGCAGTATGGGTACCTATCATTTTCGAGGTATTTGGGGGTGCTCATTACAAATATGACACTCATTTCTAAATCCAAGATGGCGGGCACGATTTTTCAAATAATGGCAAGTTGGATATCGATTTCGAGGTATTTGGGGGTGCTCATTACGAATATTGCTTTTGTTTGAACTGTCGTGTCTGCCATCTTGGATTTAGAAATGAGTGCCATATTCGTATTGAACATCCCCAAATATCTCGAAAACGATAACCAACTTGCAATTATTCGATAAATCGTGCCCGCCATCTTGGATTTAGAAATGAGTGCCATATTCGTATTGAGCATCCCCAAATACCTCGAAAAGGATACCCATATAGCATTTTTTTTAAATCGTGTCCGCCATCTTGGATTTAGAAATAAATGCTATACTCGTAATGAGTGCCCCCATATATCCCGTAAACGATACCCAGAATCAAAATCAATTATTAATTAATATTTCATAAGTAAGCATTATTACACTAGAAATCGTCACATTGGTTAAACTCTACCGCTCATTCGTAACGCAGATTCCCCTGAGAAATATGAGCAAGAAACTCTAGGGGTTGCTCTTTGTAAACGACATTTGTACGCATTTATCTTGCAGAAATGGAGGTCAAATGCACACTTACATTAGAATAAAAAAAATCTGCAGCCATCGCCATATTGCCTATTCTCAAAAAATGACGTAATATAATTATTTTGAAACAGAATAGCAAAATTGGGAGAAAGAAATCCGTTACATTGCAACATTTTCGTGTTTTGTTGCAACGAAATTAATTTTCGGTTTTAGTGAATATTTATATAAAAATACAAGTTAAAACGCGTTACTTCCTTGTGGAATGTGATGTTAGTATCTATTTTATGTTTGTCTGACGTATTTTTCACACATTTACCGCACATTTCGTCATTTTTAGCTAAAATTCTGTACCACTGGAATGACAAAGCAAAAAAAAACTGGAACTTTTGCAGGTGCTGGAAGTGCTGCTGCGGGCCGAGGAAGACTGGCGTGCCACACCCCACGCCCTGGGTGACGGGGACGTCAACGACTCAAAGTCGGACGTCCACACATATTGATCAGCATTGGTTGCAACGCGCCTTCAAATCTTGGGGAAACAAGTGTACCACAGGCCGCCGCTGACACGTCTTTACAGCAATTTGTATGAAAACCGAGTTTGCCACATTTTATGTATCCACCATGAGACGTCACAAGAACTATTTAGTGATGGGAAACCTCCTTCCGCGCTAAATCGATTGATTGAACGGAATACACGTATTCCATTCAATTAATCGATTCAAGTATTCGTGGATTACAAATAGTCGTGAAATATTAATTCAGTAGAAAAATACCAAAACAAGATAGTTATGTTCTTTATTAAAAGTTATTTTAAAAAAAATTATTACTTAATCATTTCAACTTTAATTTTTAATCAACTTCAAATATTAATATTATTATCCTCGAAATAATATAAAAGCTTATTATATAACTGTTTTTTCGTAATAGAAAATCTTATCGATTGACTTAAATAATGAAAACGCACGTCAATATATGAACTTGCAACTGCCTTAATTAAATTTACTAGATGGTATTGGTGAATGGCAAGACAACTGAAAATGTTACTGCTGACAAAATATCTAAAATCTTACTATAGTAACGTAAGGTTTACTTAATGTCGGCCTCGTGTAAAATTTTTGTGATTTGATCATGATTTCTCGGATTTCTAACTCTGCTACTCTGCATATTTGGATAGCATCTTTGGTGGGATAAACTAGATCATTTTCGTCGTTGTTCTGAAGCGTAGAAGCGGCAACTAAGAGTTTTTCGATAGATTGATTGAACGGCATACGCGTAAACACGAGTATTCCATTCAGTTAATCGATTCTAAATAGAATATTTGCTGTTCAAGTATTTGTTGATTACAAGTAGTCATAATATTAACATAGTAGAAAAATACTAGAATAAGATAGCTTAGTCCTTTAATTTACTTTAAAAAAAATTCAGACTTTACTTTTTAATCGACTTCAAATAACAAAATTATTGTCCTTCCAGTAAAATGAGCTTATTATATAACATCTTTTTGTAATAGAAGATCTTATCGATTAATTTAAATAATGAAAACGCACCTCAATATATGAACTTGCTACTGTCATAATTAATCTTACTAGATGGTTTTCTGTTGGCAATTGATCAAATTGATGAATGGCAAGACAAATGAAAATGTTACTACTACCAAAATATGGTAACATCTTATTAATCAAAACAGGTTTACTTAATGATGGCCTCGTGTGAAATTTTTGTTATTTGTTTATTATTGCTTGGATTTCTAACTCTGCATATTGTGATAGCATCTTAGGTGGGATAAACTAGACCACCTTCGTCCTCGAAAGCAACGAACTCCTACGTATGACCAACTCCATGTTTCTGGAAAGCCAGCGCACTGTTAATTCTTTGCATATATTTTTTTGTGTTGCTCGTAATAATTAAATAATAGTAATAATTAATCAGTAATTATTTGCTCACTATATTCGGACATTCGAGGCCACGTGCTGCAAAATTTATCGAAATTACAGATACTACTGACGATAGATACTACAAAACTGAAAAAAAAAGAAACGTTACTATACGTTATGACAAAAGAGTTATAGAATATTTTTATAATATTGCTAAGGTCATAATAATTTTCGTCCCTTTGTTTTCAAAATCGACCAGAATCGAGAACAGTGTTGCCTAACGTATACATCACTAAATGTTAAATTTGGCCAAAAAAAAATGTACAAGCGGCCGTACCACAGAAACTGAATGCATTATGCAAAAGTGCGTTCGTTCGATATTTATGGCGTATTAACAAAGGATCACAAATATATCGCACAAAGTAAAAGCCGCAATGTGTTACAAATCATGAGGCATACACTGAGTTGTATATTTGTTTTCTCCAAATTCATACAAAACCAAAATAATTGTTTTTAAAATAAATTATGCAACTTCTGATTACAAAATCACTTGCCCGTGGAAGGAAACGTCTCTGTTTACCCGTTTACCCACAGCTATGGTGCTTTTGCAGTTTATAATGGCATAATTATGCATTTTTCGCATTTTCGCCTGGTGTTTATCTACGATAACGGTAGAGCGCGTTCTGAAGTGTGGCAGCGGCAAGTGAATGTCAATTACTTTGGGCGCGCGAAGTACGCACACTTACGGCGTCTATCTACATGTATGTCTGTGGTTTTGATCGTGATTTTAAATTAGTTTTACTATAAGATTACGAGGTACATACAGATTTGATATTGCGATAGATACCTGATGGTTACTCTAGGGCCTCATTAATGTATAAATGACAAGTAAAAATTAGAGATAACACGGATAGTGATTTGGCCGGTTACCGGACACCAGATATCCGGCAAGCACTTAGGATAGCCGCATATTTGGACCCCGGATATCTGAGCCATTGCCGTAAAGTTTACAGCGCGCATCACCACGATTGATTGATTAGTGTAAGATTACACTTTTACATTTACGATTTGATTGGTTGTAATCACTTTATTTTTATAAAAATGATTAATTTATTCGATACAAATAACAAATACATAACAGAAAAATGATAACAGTGAAAAAAAATCGCAAATTCGGCAATATTTTAATGTCAATGTTGTTTGTTTGTTGTGCCGAATGCAAATTTCTCACGGTGGAGAAGGAAAAAAACAATTACGTCATTCTGTGGCTATATTAAAGTTTCTGGTTGTGATAAGTATATGCCTAGCACTTGATACGCCCATTATTATTTTGTTTCTAATATACAATTTTTGATTTGAGATCAGATTTGCAAAACAAAAATTAATCTATCGAGTTCTTAGGTTTTTGGCGATTGTTAAACATAGGAAATGAAACTTTTTTCCGGATTTAAATCGCGTATATTTGTTTTTTCAAACAAACCGACGTTTCGCGCCCTTTACAGGTCCCATGGTCACCATTGACTTGAAAAAACTAATCTTTTTACCTACACGTTTCATTATAGTGTATTAGACAGTTCAAATCAATCGTGATCGCGATCCTTTCATTTGGTCGTCTGACAAACAAATAGTATTTAAAAATTAACAAAGTTTGCAAGAGTTTATAATGATAAACTGTCCTCTGATGCTGATCTCGTTATGAAAATAAATAGACCCAATTTTTACCACTTAATGCAGAATAATTGGTCTTCATCCACCATAATTTGTCTTTATTGGAATTTGAGTACTAAATTTACAGATAACGTTATCTAACTTGATAGTTCTTTGAGTTACAAGTAATAATCAGATTGTAAACGATCCTGTAGTTGCTGTCTAACCTATTACTATCATCTTTAATCAATAAATCAATTTATTTGACTAGCTGACTATAAATTTTCCTCAGTTAAACATCCGGGTAAGTTTATCTACTATCCGGTATCCGGACGGATAGTAAAAATAGGCCGGATACCCGGATAACCGTTTCACCTCTAGTAAATATCCGGAATATTTACTAGTAGTTAAACGGATATCCGGTGATACCCGTTTCACCTCTAGTAAGTATACGAATATTTTATCTATACTAGCTGATGACTAGTTGTTGCTAACGACTTCGTCCATAGTCCGCATTATACATATGTATATATATATTATAAAACACAAATGAAAAATTTGGAAGTTTGGAAATGTAAGGAATACGATCTTCTATAGAAAAGCTTTATAAAAATACTTCGATACCTAACTTGTTTTAGAAGTTATTTTGAAAAACCCTAAATCACGTATTTATTTATTTTGCATTGCGGGCAATCAAATCGTACAACTACGCCAAATTGCAAATTGATAGCAAAAGTATTACCAAAAAAAACCGTGTTGACATACCAGACGTAATTATGAACTAAGGTACGTCCAAGTATCACAGTAAGTGATTATAACTAATATCAGATTTCTTACCACGCTATGACTTCTTTTTATTTTCCCGATATTTCGGAACGGTTGCACGCTCCATGGTCACGGGTTGACTGGACGGCGGCAGATGACAGCTTTAAGAGCAGACATTATATACACAAAATTTACTCTAAAGACTGTAGAAGAGATTAAAGTGCAGCACTTTAATTTAACAATTCGATCATCGAAATCAAAAGCGGCTGGCCTCGACGGAATATCGCTAGACATGTTATTGGTGTCTTCGCTTGTCATCCTGCCTGTTATCACAGCTATGGTAAACAGATCCATTTCAACTAACACGTTTCCAACAGACTGGCAGCATGCAGCAGTAAGGCCTTTACCTAAAATAAATAACCCAACTATCTTGAAAGACATTCGACCCATTTAGCATACTGCCTTGTGTGTCTAAGGTCCTGGAAACGGTTGTGGTGAAGCAAGTTACTACCTTTCTAGAAAGACATGAAGTTCTACCAACCGTACATTCGGGGTTTAGAAAGAAACATAGCACGAAAACTGCTATAGTCAAAGTTGTTGACGATATCCTATCTGCGCAGGACAATGGTCAGGGTACTATATTGACGCTACTTGATTTTTCCAGGGCGTTTGACTGCATAATTGTTAGTCTTCTACTATCAAAACTACACTATTATGGATTCAGTGAGTCTTCCATCAAATGGTTCGATAGTTATTTCAAAAATCAGTCTCAGTGTGTAGAAATTTCCAACCAATCAATGGGGATCAAAACTGCAGTCGAACTGACGTAGTCACGCGAGGCGTGCCACAAGATTCAATTTTGGGCCCTATCCTTTTCATCATTTATAGTGCCGATGTGATAAACCAAATCCAATTCTGTAAATATAATATTTATGCCGATGATATTCAGATCTACATATCATGTACACCAAGTGAGACTCAGGCAACCGTGGACAACATTAACGACGATTTGGAACGGACAGCCTCATGGTCAGAATCTAATTCTCTAGTCTTAAATGGTACTAAATCTAAATACATGGTGTTCGGAACAAGACAACAAACAGCAAAAATTGGAAGTCACAGAATTAATTTAGCGATTAAGGGTGAAAAAATTGAGCGAGTCAGAGAGCCTCGGAATCTTGGCCTCCTTATGGATGAGCAGCTTCGCTTTGAGAGTCATGTGTCGGGTATTATTAGAAATTGTTTTTATAGATTAAGGATATTGTACAAAATTAGAAATTATCTAAATGTTGCCATACGTATAAAATTATGCGACTCACTGATTCTCTCAAAATTTAATTATAT